TTTCATTCAAACACAACCTTCGATGTTATAGAATCACAAATAATAGACCAATCCCCTTATTATTGTCTGGGTTCGAGCAAGGGGGCAACTCCGCAGTCGTGTGGGATCCTGCTGCACACACGCGACCAACCTGCAGAGCACGCGAAATCTACATGCAGTGCAAGCCTGTCTACAAAAAATGCCACAAAGACTTTTGATTTGAGCTGTTTTGTTTTTGTTTAGACATCTTCCTTTTTACGACTTCAAGATGCCTTCTCAGGATCATTGCTGCGTTCCTCACTGTCAGAACAGGAGGACGAAGCAAACAAGTCATTTCACTCCTTTCCTCATGTGGAGCCACAGCGGCCTGGAGCAAGCGGATCCAGGCTATTCCCCGTGAGGAAGGACGTAGTTTTAGGGTCGCTCTGAATATTTTTGTTGCAGCGATCATTTCGATACCGAAATCGAAATCGTTTTGCCCAGCTCTACAAGGGCAGGATGAGTCCAGGAAACCAAATAGCTGTCTTAGATCCTACGGTACCAGGTTTGCTTTTCGCAAGAGAGTGGAGTCTGGACGCCCAGCTCCCCATGCTCGCAAAACAATATTTGCTGAGCCTAGTGCAGTTCGGTCATGGAAGTGCAGCGTCTGCATCACGAGCTCCCCATGCTCGCAAACCAGTATTTTGCTGAGAGGCAACGACACTTTGAGTTGGAAAGGAACCTGGCTTAGTGCAGTTTGGTCCTGTAATGGAAGTGTAGCATCTGCATCAGGAGCTGGCAGCAAGTAGAGCTCGTGTACAGAGTCTCGTGGAGCAGTTGGACAATGTGAGGACTGGGGTGAAGGCAGCCGAAAAACAGCTTACGTACAATAACATAAAGAAAGACTCTGAGCCGCTCCAGTTTCTGACTGTTTTGCCTTCAGGTGTTTGGACCGCTCTGTGGGACTTCTTTGAGCCTAGCCGAGAAAATGTACTGCACCGCGCCAGATCTGCGAAGACGGAAGCTGAGGGACGGCGGATACAGTTTGAGGTGGCTGTAAATCGCCAATGAGCATGTAATGGAGGATCAGCTGCTATTGGCATTGATGTGTCTAAGCCTGGGCCGAATGAAACAGAAGCTGGTATGCGTGGCGCAAGTTAATCATCCGTTTCACGGTATATAGCTAGCTGAGCTGGAAAGATGTCTTTTTCCTCCGTTTGAGCATGATCCCCATTTGGGCGAGCTGGCGAGATTTTCAGTCATCAACGCCATGTACTGCAAGACATTCTGCATTGTGGTTGAAACAGTTCTATTTTGCCGTGCACTTAGGATTCTCGCACCGGCACGGCACGGCACAACACCCAACAGATCCTTGCGCTCTTATTTTCTTCCATGGTAACATTGCTGATCACAATACCCCGTAGCCAGTCGCAATATGGAAACCAAAGGTATACCAATATTTGCATCGAATGCAGTGATGATTTCAATACTGTCCACTAGTACAACGCATTACCAGACTGGCATATAATCATGATAATATTATCCATTTCGCAATCACTGTCATTGCTTTCTTAGATCTCCAATCATCAATATCGGACCATAAACCGTCTATCATCTTATAAGTTATCATCATTAGTATCCTGCTACTATACTCCCCTAACGATGAGCTCGAAGAAACGAAACAGTTGTCTAGAGGCGTAAACAATATCTGTCAACGGATGTGTCCTTACTGTGCTGGTGTGTTTATGCTTCGTGCATTAGTTCGACCAAGAGCGCATGGTGGTGGCGGGTTGAGGATGTAGTACAGCGGAGTATGACCGAAAGCTCTGTCACAATGTATTTTATTAGGAAGGTATAGAAACAGAAAAAAAACTGTATCTTCATCTTGGGCATAAACAGCCCGTCTCACATTAAAATAGTTCACTCTGAACATACAGTCTTCCTAAGAGAAAGAGAGGGGGGGGGGTATATTCATAGGTTCGAAAGAACCGCACACACACTTTGCTGCAGATAGCGGCAAGCTCTGGCCCTCGTGCTTCGAAGAGGGAGCAATCCACTGCGCTACACTTGCGACTAACAACAAGCTTCGACTTTTCAAAGGCACGACTCATCACTGGCTCTGGGGTAATGTTCCCGGGCGGGAAGTGTTCCAGCACAAGAAGCAGCGCGAATACATGCTGACAAAGACCACCATCATCACCAGCCGGCACACAGCACACTGTTCTTCAAACACCATCCACTCCGTCCATGTGTTTGCACTGTCCTCCTCTAGCTCTTCACGATCAACAAATACCACGCACTGCTCATCGTTTTTTTAATGCTTCCTCTGGGTTGGCTAGCCCTTCGACTTGACAAAACAGCGATCACCACTGCACTGCTATCGTCACCTCATAGCAGTCGCTTCCACCAGTGGCTTTTCCTGTCTTTGCAAGGCGTCCAAGGATGGCTGCTGTTGTCACTACAGGCAAATCAGATGTACTTTAGTGGCTGATGTCCAACCAGATCGTTGGAAAATCGATTTTTCCACTTCAGGGCTGCTGATCGCGATCGCGACTTGGTGACTTGGCAGCACCACGGTTACCTTCATAGAAGATGGCTCTGGAGAGGAAAAGACAGACCAGAAAAAGGTTACTTTTATCTTCAGCACCGATCTCAAGGAGAAAGAAATACGGTCTGCTGTAGCCTAGGCACAAAATAAATCTCACAACACGATTCGCGATTCGAATATTTCAACAACAACAAAACTCACCTCTGGAGTGACTCCTGTTTGTGGCCCGAGATCGTTCCCTCCCGCTCCTTGAAAAAATCCTGCAGCTGCATCAGTATTCACAGTCCATGTCTCTCTCGGAGACTCTGCTTCTACCAGTAGGAGGTTAAGCACCGCTCGAAGCCATCGCAAACTACTTGAACTAAGCAGAAGACATTCCAAAACAAACCTGAAACACACTGTGAAAGATGCTGTCACGTTCAACGACTAGCTCGATCGCGAGTGAGGTTGCCCCCGTGCTCGAACCCAGTATAATAAGGGGATCCGTCAATTATACGAAACGAATGCATATGTGGACGGGTGCGCGCACACTTACATACTAAGTACATGTAGTAGTGCAATAGAGTAACATAGTGCAATAGAGTAACATAGTGCAATAGAGTAACATAGTGCAATAGTGTAACATAGTGCAATAGAGTAACATAGTGCAATAGAGTAACATAGTGCAATAGAGTAACATAGTGCAATAGAGTAACATAGTGCAATAGAGTAACATAGTGCAATAGAGTAATAGTGTAACATAGTGCAATAGAGTAACATAGTGCAATAGTGTAACATAGTGCAATAGAGTAACATAGTGTAATAGAGTAACATAGTGCAATAGAGTAACATAGTGCAGTAGTCAGCATAACACTAGCACATGCTGAGAATGCAATAGCAAGCTTCACCATTGCTCATGCTCATGCAAATGTTCAGCAGCACTCAATTCCGCAAGTTTCTGAAGATTAACACATCTGCAACAAATAGATAGGATACGCTTACTAATGATGCATGGGAGCACACAACTACCAAGTTCTCAACGAATGTGATGCTCAATGAAAATCCATCCACTCAAAGACCTGTGACGGTGGGGACAATAATCTAAGCAATACGCATTGCCGTCAGTCAAACGGTCTTCCCCAAGATGGAAATGCAATGATTTGTAGTCACCAGGCAATGATACCAACACAATGTCATGTTTGTGAAAATCCAACCAGTTACTTCATGGAATACGAGTATTACCCTGTGATGATTTTTCGTGTCATTGGCATACAAGCAACCCTCCTACTGTTATGTTCGGTAGACAAGAGACAAGAAGTTTATTGATTAGTTAGAATACACGAAGTAGAAAAACTGACCAGATTCAATCTGTAAACGACAGAGAAGGCTTTCAAAGATATGCGTGCGTGCATACACAGTAGAGCTAAAGTTAAAAACATTTCTCATGAAATGAAATTGATGATAGCTAGACGATTGATGCAAAGTCCTTGCAATTGCAGTCCTTGAGGACTGATATTATTTTTTCACGCAACTATTATGAAGACGTTGAGTACTTTTAGGCCGTTCATTCAAGCAACATCAAGCAAACGCGATACGCTCCTTTAAAATGGAAAACATTCAAACAAAACGACAGAACAGCAGAATAATGGAATGAGTAAAAACTTTCTTTAAATATCTCTGTCATCGTCCTGTCAGGTACTTGGACAGCCTTTTGACAACGTGGTACAGGCAGCTCTTGTCCAGTAAACCATGGTATTCTTATGGCGTCGAACGAAAGAGAGTGTCAGTGCATCTGACTCCCCAGATTGCAACTGTGCTGCACTTTTCTTGTTCTCCGCTTTCTGCTGTCATCCTGCGCACTGCTGCAACTTCTTCGAAGAATCACAAGACGCTTTCCAGATTTGATTGTGAGCGTCTCCCTTTTCCCCCTTCGTTACCTGAAGACAGATTACTGTCAACAAATGCACAGCAGAACTAGCAGCCATGGCCAGTGAAATAAGGTATCCTTGCGGCGTCCAACGAAAGAGAGTGTCAGGGTACCTGACTCGTCAGATTTAAACTGTGCAGAACTTTTCCCGTTCTCCGATTTCGGCTTTCATCCCGCGCAATGCTGAAACGTTACCTTGAGACAGATTACTGCCAGCAACTGCATAGCAGAACTGGCAGCCATGGCAGAAGTGAAGAAAAGAATGCGCTGCCACAAGGCAAATTGAAAAGGTGTTTGTTCTCTTTCGGGCACTACACACAGGGTGGCATGACTGGATAAACTGGACTTCTGTATAGGGGACCTGTTGAAAATGTGTACTTCTTATAGGGATTGCGCCGCTGGATGAAGCTGATAAAAACTGAGCGGCCTCCTGGGCTCTCTATTTAGTGGATTTTGGACCAATGAGCGCGATTTCCAGCGTGGCGCGCAAAATCTTCATAACAATTCATCACCGAAGTAGATACCACTATTTCCTCCATTATTGTTTCTTAATTCCCGATCTGCTTTGATTTCTTTCGTCATTTGTAGATGGCTCAATGATAATTCTCTGATTCTAACGCCACGTCTCTATGTCATTTTATACGGTATCGGCAAAATCTCCTCCAGCCCCTGTTATGACTCCTGTGTTCGGGTTGATTCAATGGTTGAGGTGTACTTAAGCAAAGGTATGCTACGACTTTGATGGTCAAAATCATAAAGAATGGTCTAAAGCATTCCATGGTATCTCCAATTTGTCATCACCCACAATTGTTACCAAGATAATTTTGATTCAGACCAAGCAACGCTGTAACAAACTAACCGCTGTGTTGATGATATTAACCCTAAGATGGACACCACTTTCAGTACTCCTAGAACGGCCAACAGGTGTCAATATTTTGACACCTGCATATATTTCCATGTGTAAGACAAGTTATAAATTTGTCTTCAGTGCAGGCTGTCACTAGTTGCATTGATGATGTAGACAACACATTAGGATTCATGCAGACACTATTTTTGGCTTTAGGCAACCAAAGTACATTGTATGCGTATCGGCACATGCGAAGGATGAAGTCAGATACTGGCAAAACGTGAATTACTTGCATAGGAATTTCTTATGATCACAGAGTTGCAATAACAAGCAATGTGTAAACGTCACTTGCCATACGAGAAACTGCTTTTTAGGAATATGTGCTTCGGTATACTCGAATTCCCCAACCGGCACGATGAATGACACTCAGTAACAAGTACAAACATGGAATGACTATGTGCATCGTTTTTTCCTAGGTGGACGCATATGCTTCTAGACATGGGTGCAAGTTTAGGCTTTTAAGGACTGCGTTTCAGCCCCTTTCAAAGTGTTGTACCCTTCTCTTCTCCTGGGCTGCTACTTAGCAACCAGATGCACAACACTAACATTCTCACCGGCACTCTCACGATCACTACAATCGTCGCTCTCCGACTCATTGCTCCCTTCACCGTCCGTCCCATCATCCGCTTCCTCTGCGCTCTCTCTGTTATCCCGCCTGACTTGGTCCATTGAACGGGACTTGGCCGTCACCCTGCTGTCACGTTCCTCCTTACGCACTTGTTTGTTGAGTGCGTAGCTGCTGTTGTATTTGGCTGTTGATCGTCTTGGTCTTTCAATAGTGGGCTTGGATGGTGGATTAGTTGTGGTTGCTGTAGATTGCATTGTTGGTGATGGTGTGGGAGCTGCTGATACGCAAGGTGGGTCTTTTTTGGTTGGCAATTATAGTGTTAATGCCACTGCCGGTGTTGCTCGCGGTCTGGCACTGGCAAGCTCCACCGCCGCAAGAGCCGACGGCGGAGGATCAGGAGGAGGCAGTGGGACCGGGAGCGCAAGCGGCACCACCCCAGCCAAAGCCACCAGGGGCACTGACGAAGGAACCACCGACTGCAGGAGCAAAGGCAGCGACACAAGCCGGCCCGACGAGCCACCATCGATAATATGGGGCGCAGAGGACAATTGGCCTTATGTATTTTTAGGAGTCCATATAGACGCGGACGGGCGGAGCCTATTGGTTTTATTCTCAGGAACTCCGAATTGGTGATTTCATTATCAGATTTTATTTTTTTTGATACTGAATCAGAGCTTTCTGGACCTTTACAATTTTATCATGGGTTGAGACTGGACCGAGTCTTAAGAACTTGGAGTCATCGTTCAAGATGACTGCCATTTTGGATGTGTATTCTACTCAACTCATGATGACTGTGGCACGGCCTTTATCTGGTCGGGTAATGATGATATCATGGTTTGTACTAAGTTCACGTCGTGCTTTGAGATGTTCTCGGTATAAATAGAACCCGCTCCGGTCAGGAGGTTTCGCGGCATGTTCTTCGGCAAGCGCCCTGAGGCTGGCACTACACACAGCCTGTTGGGCTTCCGATATGGGAGTGAGCTGTTTCAGTTTCTTGTAGAACAACTCAAACTCGGTCAGTATTTGATGACTTTGATGACGAAACGGTTGGTGAGGAGACAGAGGACGAGGCAGATGATGGTGGTGATGATGATCGTGAGGATGACGAGCGGAACGAGGAAGAGTCGGGTGGGAAGGAGCGAGATGAGGCGGATGAATGTGTTAATCGTAAGAAGTCAGCTGTGTATCTACACTTGTTATCTCGTCCTGACTGTCTTGGTGTGTATGATGACTCTCATTTTTCTGTACTGTGTCGTGCGCGTTATGTCCAACCGTTGAAAGTCCTTCAGGCAGTTTGTATACGTATTCATAAGCCTGTTTTTTGTAAGCAGAAAGAGCACGTTGTTGCACTGAAGTTGTATTCGTAGGTTGACACTTCGTTCAGTGCCTTCTCGCCTTTGGTTATGTAATCTTGTTACCTTTTTTGCGTTTCATCTAGTGGTTTTATTGCACTTGTATCTTGATGTTATTTCTAAAACCTTTCTATTTACAGTACTTAACTTCAGTTTCTTTGGTTGTACCCTGAGTTCCGTTTTTCCCACTGATGATAGGAACGAGAAAATCGATTCTGGGTTTTCAATAATATTTTTGTTATAAAATACACAGTAATACATGTCAAACAAGTAACGTAGTTGCGTGATGTCTGCGGCCTTCATCCTATTTATAGCTATATTAAAATTATTATTTGAAGTGTGAGTTACGAAGTCTGAAAAAATGTTGAACGGTCTCTGCTGGGATGACGACTACACCATAGCTCAGTGGTTAGAGCATCGCTGGCTACAAGCGAGGGTCCCTGGTTCGAGTCCTGGCGGTGACAGTCAATATTTTCTTCAGACTTTTCCCTTTTGTATAGCTGAGCATTACACTGGGAAATTCTCTCCTACTGCTGCAGAGCCAGCGGTTACGCCATTTACAGCAACACCGAAACCCCTCGATAAGCCGATTTCCACAGCAGAGGTAGCGAGCGCAATGAGTCGTCTAAAGAACCAACGCTCCTGCGGGCCTGATGACATACCAGCCGAGCTTGTCAAGTACGGAGGCCCTGCACTTGCAGAATGCCTAAGCAGCATTTTCAACGATGTATTCACTCAGCACAGCCAAGCGTCCCTTGGAGATGGTGTACTAATCGCTCTGCATAAGCCAGGTAAACCCAAAGGCCCCATGAACAATTTGCGCCAATAACATTGCTGACTACTGCCAGAAAAATCTTGTCCCTCATCACACTTCGCCGAATCAGAGCTGACGTAGAGCGATATATATCTCCATCGCAAGCCGGGTTCCGTCAAAACAGATCAACTGCAGACATTGTGTTTTGCAAACGGATCCTGGCATCAATTGTTGAACGCTTCAACACTACTATCTACGTGCTAGGGCTGGACCTGAGCAAGGCTTTTGACACAATAAACCGCACAAAGCTGCTTGATGTCATGGAGCAAGAGAAAATTGGAGACGCGGACGGTTTACGACTGGTTAGGTACCTGCTATCTGGCACGGCGCTGACAGTTCGCGTGAACGAAGCACAGTCCACACCTTTTGAGACAGCTCGGGGGGTCCCCCAGGGCGATGGATTGTCACCGGTACTGTTCACGGTTACTTTGGAAGCAGCCCTACGAATGGTACGTGACCAACTGCCAGCCCGACCATCAACAGACAACATTCTACCTGAAAAACAGCTTACGCCGATGATGTAGACTTCATCTCCACATTAAAATCATTCCTTACCAGCGCCCTACCCGTCATCGCAGGCGTCTTCTCCGAATGGGGTCTTACCGTCAATACCAGTAAGACTGAATGGATCCCTATTTACCTGGAACCCACTTTGGGAGATGCCACCTCTACAACATCTAGAAATGTCGGCACAACTTGTGGTAAAGAAGCTTGGCGACAGGTGAAGACACTCGGCTCACTATATGGCTCCGGGGAAGACGTAACGCGCCGTATTGGCTTGGCCGCAAGAGCATTTGGAGACACTCTGAAGTTATGGTTCAAACACAACCTGCTTTCTACACCCATTAAAATTCGTTTATACAACACTTTCGTTCTACCAATCTTGACCTACAACCTTGCTTGCCATGGCCTGTCCCGTGCACAAGAAAAGCGCCTAGATGTGTTTCATAGGAAACAGCTGCGGTGTACCCTTGGAATTACCTACCCAGATGTCATCTCAAATGCAGATTTATATGCTGTTACTGGCAAGTGTATCTGTATCTGAAATGGCCAAGCGGGACAGGTGGAAGCTATTAGGACATATATTATGCCAGCCAAGTGACATCCCTGCAAATATTGCTCTCACTGCTTTCTGTACATATGCTACCGGTCAGCCCTTTCGAATAGGTGCACCCCGCTCTTGCCTCACCACAAGTCTCCAGCGAGACGTCCGCCTCACACCTATCTGCATTTTTAAGCCCAGCTGCCTTTGTGATCTCGGCACCTATGCCCGCGACAGAAAACAATGGAGTAACATCTGCTCAGCCATTTAGTCTAGTACTGCTCTTCTTAAATTTGACCTTTATTACAAGACTCTTCTTTTCTTTTTCATTTCGTTCTCCCACTCTCACACACACATGCTCACAGTTTATTCTGCCGTCGCGAGTCCCATTCGGGACGGATACGAGAATAATAATAAATAATAATAATTTCCCTTTTGTCTCATTCCCTCAAAACCAGTTAATATTTTATGACTTGGGGCTCCCCGCGTGCTACTTTGTACGTGAAGTGCGTGGGTACAGTGAGGGCTGCGTCCCACCCGCCTGTGTGGATTCACAGGAAGTGTGAGTTACGAAGGCTGAAGAACATGTTGAACGGTCTCTGCTGGGATGACGACTACACCATAGCTCAGTGGTTAGAGCATCGCTGGCTACAAGCGAGGGTCCCTGGTTCGAGTCCTGGTGGTGACAGTCAATATTTTCTTCAGACTTTTCCCGTTTGTCTCATTCCCTCAAAACCAGTTAATATTATTATTTGAAACTCTGGTGTTGAGCCATAAATAAATGTAGAAAGGAAAAGGACATATGGATACGAGTTAAGAGTAACTCTCCATCACTGTAACTGGATACTATATACAGTCAGAAAGTGCAATAACTTGGCACAAAACTGACAGAGTACTGAAACATTCGACGTCCTGACACCTAGCTTCAAAACATCTCCGTAGCGCTAACCGACAGCCTTCCAACTTGGAAGGTTCAAGGTTATGGAAAGACCAAAGAGGGGAAGGCAAGCGCAACGAAAACGAGCAAAAGCTACAGTCCCAA